ATTCCTGCTCCTCATGGACTGAGCTGAGGGTGTTCTCGGTGGAGAGCGGTGATCCGGACCGCTGCACTCACCCGCAAACAGAGAGGTCAGGACGGAGACCGCACACCTCAGCCCTGCTCCCAACCTGACTACTCCTATTCACTAGTCCTCTCATACAGAAAAGCAGTCAGTGGGGCAGTGTCTACCTTACACTAATCACTCATCCACTCACGCTTTCATAATTTTTTGAGTTTCAGCTTGATTTTCTTCATCAAAAATGAAGCTCAAAGTCTTCACTTTCTTTATGTTGTACATTTTTACAGTGTGGTGAACACAGACTAGTAGCAAAACTAATAGACTAGTCAACCACTACTCAAAAAACATGCATGAGCATCAGTTCATTTAGCTCTGAATAAGCTAAACTCCTCGGACAGCTGCGCTCTCACAGTCATTCTCACCATGTTGTTTTCCTGCAGATGTAATGTGCGGTTGTTTGCACTGAAGAACTAAAGCTTCTCTTTTGGTTGTAAATGAAGTGGAATGAAACACTTTAATTAGACGTCTGTATGAGGAAGTAGTTTAATAACACACACACACACACACACACACACACACAGTCATATCAGTGTCATCCCAGCAATACTAAGATTTCTGAATCTGTAAATCCTGTGCTAAAACAATGAAAATGCGGCAACACAGTTTGGCTCATGCATGGAACAAGAGGCATCATGAGAAAAAATATTTAAAAACCTTTATCAAACCAACCTTGCAAATGTCAGGAGAAAGTAAAAGGATCATCAGCATTCAAAGGTTGAAGATGATAATCATATGCCAACAGTGTTTCAGAAAAGCCAGTGTGAAGCGCTTGAGTAATTACACGTATAATTAACCTGCTACCTGTAACGGCAATTATCTCATTACATCATAAACAGGGCCTTGGAGGGACCACGTCTGATCGTAGTGCTGCATTCCCGCCGCCCCTCATCTCGTCTCTTCATTAGTCTGCTAATCACTCTGATGAGTTTATGAGACATTAAGTGCTGCGGCTGTTTCCTGCATCTCTGAGCTTCTGGCCCGCATGAAAGACAATCACAGGGAAACAACATCCTGAGAGACAGTTTAAGGAAGCTGCGCATGAACCTATGCTGTAAGGACAACTAATTCAACACTAACGCAAAAACATATATGGGGCAGAAGCACTGCTGCCACGTTCCTGGAGTACCACCAACACTACATATTCTGCATGTTTCTTTAATCAATCATACCTGATTCAACAAATCAGCTCATTAGTAGAGACTCCAAGACCTGAAATGGGTGTGTGAGAGAAAGGGCAAATGCAGAATGTGCAGTGTTGGAGGGCTCCGGGAACGTGGTTGGGAAGCACTGGTGTATGGCACGTTTACTGCCGCTGTGAGCAGGACTGATCCCAGTGAATGTGTGAGGGAGCTCATTTAGTCTTGTAAAGGGACTGAAAGTCTAGAAACTGCACACACCCACTACACCCCAAGCACACTCCAACTGCCCCTTAACACACCCCAACACATGCTACATGCCCCACAAACCCAACACACACCCTACACTCATCCTGCAGCCTGTCTTCCAAATCAAATTACAATAATTGGCCCCAGAGGTTACTGAGGTGCATCCAAGTCTATTCTCTCTCTCTCCAGTCAGCATCAGCACACTTTGAAGCTTGTATTACGAAGGGGAGCAAATAATGACTGCGCACATGAGAGCCACTGGAGGAGCCACAGCACTTTCACACCGCAGTCATTAGAGAGTTAATTACTAAGATAATTACTACAGCAAATTATATCAGTTTTCACCAAAACAGGATTTCTACGGCCTGCGAACGCGACATTATAAACCACACGAGCCG